CACCTTTTTTTAATTAACTAATTAGACTTAGGGATTTCTTAATTTGATTTAACTCTTTTTTTTCTAAACAAAAAAAATGCAAAAAAACAATAAAAAATATTTCTTTTGTCACTTAGAAAATTTTTAGGGTTTTTTTCCTTCTCCACGCGTTTATTTATTCATCTGCATTATTATTTTTACAAATATATTGTAATTGCACATGGGATGTAATAGTTTAATTAGGACCATTTACTTCTTTATTTCCCCCGTTTTGGTATGTAATTCCCTCATCCCGAAGTGATGTAATAGCGTAGCTTAAATTCCCACACTTTTATTTTCTGTGCATATATTAACTGCTAGATGAATGTTAATAGGCATGCGTGATAAGATCTGAAAACAAACGGTAGAAAACCCTAAATGTTTAAAGATAAATAACTGAAACACAACACACTCGCACACACACACCTCTAAGGTACCTCCACTTGTTGCCTTCAGAATAAAACGGTTATGACTCTTGGACGTAAGATATTTTAGTAGTGGCCCTTTGGTTCAAAGATCATAAGTCCCTCGATGACCCTTCAACGTTGTCTCGGTAAATGATCTTAAAAACCTAGTGCAATTGCTAAAGAATCTTATGAGTTGCTTTCGTGATTGTATGATGACCCTCGCTTGTCCCTCAAACATCCAACGATAGGGTTATCTACTGGCTAATAGTAGAATAACATTGTCCAAAGGAAAAGAGGAAAAGAACAAAGACAGTTCGAGTAGGTAGACCGTTTATAGTTGTTTGCTCACAAAAACAAATAAAACAATTTTTCACACATACACAAACTATTTTCTAAATATTTTCAAAGACAAAAACACTTTCTAAACATTCTCAAAATAAACGAGAAACATTACAAAGTTCGCCACACTAAGGCGTCTTTTCAAAAATATTTTCAAAAACACACAAACACAAAAGCACTTTCAAAGTGAGCTAGCAACTAAGAGCCCGTAGATAACTACAGATGAAAAGGGTGCTAACGCCTTCCCTTTCCATAACCTACCCCCGAACTCAAAATCTTTAAAAAGGTCTTTCCTGTTCTTTTCACCCTTTTCTTTGTTGGATAAAAGAAAAGTCGGTGATGACTCTTGTTAACCGCAACATTTGCGATAAAAAGCAAAACTACTAAAGTCAGTTCTCCCACCGTATTACAATGCGTCAAAATGAAAATCAGTTAAGGGATCTCCTCGCGTACAAATATCAAAAACATATTAGTGAATAAAATAACAGAAATCAAATTTTGGTTGCAGAGCGACAAAATTTTAATTGAACTAAAATTAAAACTCTATATTTTGGCAGTCTCCGACAACGACGTCAAAAACTTGATTGGTAGAATAACAAGTGTACTATTTTTCCTTTATAATAATAGTGAAGAAAGTCATCACATGTCGATCTCAAGGACTGCGTACCAATACTATGTTAGAAATGTAGTTCAATTAAACAAAAATTAATCTTTGGATTTGATTTGCTAATATTATAAAAGTAATTGCAAATAAAATAAACAGAGTGGTTGAACAGTTTAGAAATATATGAGTAATATGCTAGGGAAAGTGTATGATTCATTCCTGTAACAACTATGAACTAACATTGTAACGACATATTTCAAATAATTAATTATCGATTCTTATGGACGTTTACTCCTAAGTCCTTAGTGAGAAAATATTTATTCCTTCAAACTAATTCATATGTGCGTAGAAAATTACAGATGAAATTAAGCATTGTTATATTAAGACTAATTCGGTTTTTATAGGGTATCCCTAGTCCTAGGTGATATCTACTATAAAATATTATCACCAAATAACAACGACGCTCCAGCCTAATTGTTAATCGTAATCAAACTCAGTTTGTCCGAAAGAGAAAGCATTATAATCATCATAAGAATAAATTAATTATGATAAAACAAGATTCTTATTGTAATTATAAAATTCAAATTCATTACAAATCTAAATCAGGGACACCTCATAGCATTGGGGGATTTAACTACTCATAGAGGTAAAGAAAAAACATGATAAAGATTGTTGTCATTGCAGATATTTGGGATGAATCAATCTTCAATTTCAAAAAGCTCTTGAAAATCTCAATTCACCTTGAAAATATGAGTTCTCCAGCCTTTAAAACGTGTTCTCTGCCGTCAAAAATCGTCCAACCCTTGAAAAATTTCATTTTCAAATTAAATGGAAATGAACTTGATTTTTGCAAAAACCGGGCCTCCATTTGTGTATGGCCTTGTTCACAGGATGAGTGATACGCAAGTGATATGAACCTAACTTCCATGTAGGTACCCATACACGTATGATACGCGTACGGGCATAAGCCTCTTTGTCCACGCCTTCTGTTGAATTATGTATGCTACGCGTATGGGAGTAGGGCCATACACGTATGACTTAGGTCCATATACATATGGGCAATTGATCAGTTTTTTCTCTGCTTCCATGTTCTGGCTCGGTCATTTTGATCTGATCTTTGATTCTGGCTTTTTTAACCTGAATCTAACTTACTACACATACCAAAAGCGTAAAAATAACCAAAAGAAACTTAAACTATAACAAACACTGTCTTGACACAAACTGACTCAAAAGATTAAGAATTAATACCAAAGTCATATAGTTCACCTGGATTTTTGATGAATAAATGACAAAAGTTATAGCACAAATAGTGACTGATCATCATCACCGAACTTTATTGTTTCCAAAGGGAAAAGGGAAATGTCATGATAAATAGTGAGTGGTATCTAGCAACACATCACTGCTATCCAAGTCACGAAAATGTCATGTGATCTGACAAAATCTTTATGTGATAATACTTGTGTGTCCAATTACCCTTTTTCCATTATTTCTATATTGAACACAATTCATAGATCGTGTCACTCTTGTCCAGTGCAAGATGATAGAAAGTTTTCTTTGAATCATCTTGCATCTTGGTGAAAAAAGGTTATGAAGTAGTGAAATTGTCAAGGTTTTAAAACACTTAGAAATTTTTTTAAGTCTTGAAAAGTTTGACTTTTTATATTGACTTTTGACTTTCTTGATTCTTGATGATCAAGCTTCATATTTTTGAATGTCTTAATGAATCATGATCTTTGAAACTTAATGTTGACCAAAAAGTCAAAGTTTGACTTTTGGTGTATCCGTTGACTTTTTCATCAGTTGACCAAATTTCAACTATCAACTGTTTGATCTTGAGAAATGAATTGAACTATGGAATTAGGTCAAGATGTTGTCTTTGAATCCTTAAGATTATGCCTCAAGTTAATAGGTCATGTATCAAGCCAAAGGTCAAAAATCAGTCATTCTCAATCAAAACCCTAATTTTGACCATTTTGCCCCTTTGATGATTGGAACACTTTTCTTGAGGAATTGTGATCCAAACTTGATCAATTGATAAATATGACTTGAAAATGTTGATATTGGCCAAAAATCTTGAAGTTTGACTGTGGGTTGACCACAATTGACTTCTTACCCAATCCAGTTGATTTTCAGTCATCTCATCAATTGACTGAGCAAAATTGTGATCTAAGACTTGAAACTTGGCATGAGTATTCTTGGAGGTCTATAATGAACCATGAAAGTAATTTGAGGCATTAGAAGTCCAATTGTCCTTGTGAAAATCAAAACCCTAATTTGTGGTCTTAGTGCTATGAGATGAGTTTGTCTGATCAAATATTAGAGAATCCTTGATTATTTGAGATCTTTGATAAGAAATGTCTTGAGAAAAGAGATGGCAAATTTTGAGGTACAACAATATAAAACAAGGAATGACTATTTTATTTTGATGACTCCTTTAGAGAATCAATTAAACTTATTGATAATTAAAAAATGTCTGCCATGAAGAAAATAGACTTGAAATTGTGCATAGGAGAAAGAACTCAAGTCATTATTGATGTCTACTACTTATTATATTAGGCCCTAAAAACAATCTTCTAAGCATAGGCCAGCTATTGCAGAAGAAGTTGAGCATTGTATTTCACAATGGCACTTGCAAGGTGTTTCACGAGGAGAAGGGTTTGATCTTGTCCACAAAAATGTCCTTTAATAGAATGTTTTTTATCTTTGATCCTGTGATGATGCCTATATACTTATAAATGACCAAATCCAATAGCTACTCGTGACATGTTCAAAAGATACAAAACATTAGTTGAAAAATGGTTAGGTTGTTTATTTTAATTTAATGTCTTGAAATTGATAGAGGTGGATAATATACTTCTATTGAAGTCAATGATATTTTTGTAGTACGCGATGAATTAAGAGACAATTGTCTGCATTTTATAATCCTAAACAAAATGGAGTTCCAGAAAGAGAAATAGAATATTTTTGAATATGGTTAAAATCATGTTATCAACAAGTAATGTGCCCAAAAGATTTTGGTTTGAAGCAATTCTATGGGCCATGTATGTGTTGAATAAGAGTCTAACCATGTCAATCAAGGACATCACTCCTGAAGAATATTGAAGTGATGTCAAGCCCTCAATCCATCATCTTAGATTGTTTGTATGTCTAGCATATGCACAAGTTCTAGATGTTCAAAGAAATAAGCTAGATACAAAAGGCATAGATAGAAGTTGATGCAACTCAATATAGACAAATAATAAGATGTTTGATGTACTTGCTTGCTACTAGGCTTGATCTCACATTTTCAGTTTTTCTAATTGCAAGATTCATGGAAAAATCAACTAAGATTCATATGGTTGCAGTCAAAAGAGTAATGAGATATCTTCAAGGAACATTGAGTTTGACATATTGTACAAGAGGAACACTGAAGAGAAGCTGCAGGGATGGTCTCGTTCAGATTATGCAGGAGACCTTGATAATAGGAAAAATACTTCTGGCTATGTGTTTATGTTTGAATCAGGATCAATATCTTTGTCCTCCAAGCAAGCCATTGTCACTCTTTCAATCACAATAGTTGAATTTGTTGCTACAGCCTCCTCTGCATGCCATGACATCTGGCTTAGAAGAGTTTTGGATCAATTGGCTCAATCTTAAGAGAAGAATATCGACAATTTGAGACTCTCAAACACTTCCCAAAGCTCTGCAACCTCTATACTGCAAATGCCAATGATTTTGGAGAAGCCTCCACACCAGACCCCATAATGATCCTGCAAAAGGCCCCCACAAACAGCTCTAGAGTGCTTGCCCACAGCACCGTCGACGTTTAAGCCAATCCAATCCTCAGCTGGAGGAATCCACCTACTATGGTTCAAAACCTGCGTATTCGAGGTGAGGCTACGCTGGAACCTGATAAACTTGACATGTGTGACTTGTCTAACTTAGATTAATTTACTTGTTTTTTTAAACTGAATCAGTGTGTTTGTTAGTGTAGTATTGTTCAATTTATGGGAGAATTGATTAGGATTATACAGGTAGTTAGTTAAGTAACTAACTTACTTGTATTGTAAGCTAACTATAAGCTGTCAAAGTTCTTTCACTTGTATGACAACTTATATACAAAATTATATTTTATGTGAGTAATTCAAATCGAATGATACATAGTTTCATTTTTAAATTGGTTAGTTATTTTGCGTCAACCAATCAGATCTCAACCATATTGCAAAATGAGTTAGTTTTACCTCAGCATACAAAAGATAAAAAAATCAGGAGATTCAACAATTCAAACGTGATTTTTCGCTAAAGCAAACTCAAAATGATGAAAACAAATTCCATTTATTTGATAGACCCAATAAAATGCACCATAACAAACAATCCCTTGAATCCTATACAAATAGGAAACAAATTATATGATTTATAATCTTAAAGGCCTATTCACAAAACTTGCAATAAAATTTCCAAAGCCACTACAAACATTTTCTTCCCTCCTATCTGGATGTGACAAGATAATTGAAATGAACCAATAACCAATGTATTGCATCTGCATTTGAGTTTGGATATATGCTACCATCCTTCATTTATGGAAGGAACCAAAATAGGTCAAACCCTGAAAAATCAATCCAAACTCACATAGTTAGCTATATAGTCATATAATTAATTTGCACAATATTAAATAATTATATCTGCATTGTCACATAACATATAAAGTAGATATGTATTACCGACCGACACCTTTGAACAAAACAAAAGTATGTTTGGTATCTGTGCCGGAGTCCGATATTCATGTCCATGTCATATAATTAGCTAGAGTCATATAAGTATTCTGCACAACATTAAATAATTATATCTGCATTGTTACGTACCTGTTAAGCGCTTAAAATTGAATCACTGACATATTTAAGAGTGATGTTATGAACATCATTTGGGTCTGTGGAAAAATTGAAATACAAAGTTTAGATATATGAATTTAAAATTCAGAATTTATATATAATTAAGAATGGTTATTTTACTTACCATTGGGAATTCTTTGTACAAAGAAGCAAGCAGCAATAACAAAGTAGCAAAGTAGGAGAACAAGGCCTTTCATGTAATGAGAAGTACCATCCTGCAAATAAGATATTGGTTATGTCAATAATATATATTGTCTGATATGAGATTCTCAACACTCTCTCTCAAGTCTAGAACTGAACATCTGTAGCCGGAAATAAATGGTGGGTGGACTGATAGCAGAAACCTAATAGCAAGTGGTACACTAGGTTTTGAATCTGTCTTATACCATGTTAAGAACTGTGATTTTACTGAACTCAAATGCAAAATCGACTTATAGGATGATGATTGCTTCCATTTATAAATACATGTTCGATCATATATTGTCTGATGCGGTAATCTTAACATAGTTGAATGTGAAATTTACATACCTGTAAAGTGAACGATGTGACTATGATTGCCACAGCAAGAGAACCTGTCTCAAGGAGGTTGAAGTTTAGGTCCATATTAACTCCCATTGCCCAAGAAACAGTAACACAGAGGGGAACCTGAATTTTAATATCATATAAGTTTTCATTATAATTCGAATAAAGGACTTTGAGGTTTCTGCGACGGTATTGCAGCCGCAGCTTCGACCACATTCTTGATCAATATAAAAGTTGAGAGTATGTTTATTTACCACAAACATGGCAATTTGAGTAGAAGAGCCCAATGCAACACCTAAGGAAATGTCCTGCAGTCATGAAATCATTTTAGCTTCACTAGAATAAAATAGCTTGGAAAATATGGATTTGATTATATGTTAAGATGAAAGATTAAGCATGGAATTGATTATAGCTTCTCTAGATTCTTACAAGCTTGTTCTTGAAAGCAAAAATGATTGCTCCTGCATGTTCAGCTGCATTGCCAACTATTGGAAGCAAGATTATGCTGAGGAAGCTCACTGATAAACCCCATGAATCTGATGCATCCTGTTAACAATAGTTTATGACATGCTTAAAGCATAAGTACTTAATGTATAAGCTATTCTAAAGAGTTTATGAAAATATTAAATAAGTTGAAAAGAGCTAATGGACGTATTACAAGATCTATCAAACAGTCTTACAAGTGCTTATATTAGTAGATATAAATTCTAATAAGTCAATCCGAACAGATTCATTACTTATACATAACGGCTTATATGATAAACACTTACTCAATAAGTGCTTAATTGAGCGTTATATCTAAACAATTTAGTTGAAATACCTCAATTGTATCGACCACATATTCAGACAACAAAGCAATGAACACAGTCATTCCAGCCAACCAAGCAAATCCACTCCAAAATCCAATCACAGCCTCTTCTTCTGCTTCATTATTCTCACTTTCACCTTCCTATTCAACAATGCATAGAATAAATCACAATCGCAACAATCATTCAACAACTCAACAATTTCATATACGATTCAATGAAGAAAACATACATCTTCAGCTTCAAATAATTGCCTATGTGTCCATAGTTGAAAGATCAAATAAGCAAAATACGCAAGCAACATAACAATGCTAGCAGCTCTGGACAAATAGAGCGAAGGCTCTACTGTGAGTTCAGCCGATGCAGCACTGTATGTGAATAGCAACGGAAGCAAATGGCATAACAACGCCAATAGCAACATCAGCGAGTTCACATCAGCTTGTCTCTGCAAAATTCATTAACCACTTGGTTAAATTCTGCGACATTATACATAACCAAAATTTGAAATTGATTTTTAGTGACTTACTCGGTCGTATTTCTGCTCAACTCCAATATTTGCAATGCCACCGCAAAGTAGAGAAGTTCCGAGAACAAGAAGAAGATTCGAAAGGACGGAACCTAATAGTGAATACTTGACAACACCAATTTTGTTGGATGTAAGAGCAAATATTGCAATGATAAGCTCAGTAACATTCCCACATGTTGCATTAAGAAGTCCTCCAACTGTAACATTACACATTATACAAACAAACCATTTAATTACTTCCAAAATTACACCATGAATACTTAAATTCCAAATCTTAAAATGAAAAACTTTCTCTACCTGTAGGACCAGTGAAGATGGCAATTTGTCTGCAACATTCATCAAAACATAGAAATTTAAACTACAATCAGCAATTAATTAGTACTAATCAAACAATTAAATGTGAAATAAAGTTTATTAGATTCCTTACTCTGTGAGAAAGCTCACACGTTCAGCCAGTGGAGTCAGACCAAGTAAGCTCAATATGAAAACCCATGACTGTTTTAAAAATAATTATAAAAGAAAATTAGAGTTAATTATATATATTATAATCATCATCATTAATTAATTAATTAATATAAACTTTCATTTCAGTCAACAAAAGCTGTAATAATCATAAATTATTAGTATTTTTCATTGACCTTTTATAAAAGCTTTATTTAAATTCAAAATTTAAAAACTTAATAATCTTATTAATAAAAATTATTTTTTTGACTAAACTCCAAAACACTTTGTCTTCTAAAACATTCTAGTTGTCGGATTCAAGTATAATATTAAAGGCGTAATTATAATTATAAATTGTGATCTGCAAGTGTAATTGCACCATAAATATAAAAGATTTAGATCTTTTAACAAGACTATGAAAATCAAATTTAATAAATATATGGAAGAAAAATTCAAATTATTTATAATTGAAGAGAAATAAACTCACTCTTCCTAAGCCAAGGTAATGAGCTACAATGGCAGCAGGAATGGCAGGAAAGAGAATGGAAAGCTTTGTACCAAGAATAACCTCTTGGATATTAGCCACGACATTCCTAACCGAAGCGCATCGAATCTTGGACACGAGTGTCCGGTCGGATTTCTTGCGCAACGAAGAAGACGACATGTTATGCGCGGTTCGGCTTCGGCCATGTCCATGTCTAGACTCCTTGGTTAAGACCTTTGGATGACCATTCTCCAAAAGCCATGGTTGTTGCTCTTGTTGTATTTGGCGAGAAGCCATTTTCGTTGCAAAAGGATGACAAAATGTTGAAATGCAAACAAAAAGTGAAAGTGTGGTGTGTAGAGTTTACTACTTGTTTCACTTCGTATGGTTACTACTATATCTCTTTCTGCATGTATTCTTTTGTTCAATGTGTGTATTTATATATTCTATTTAGAATCGTGAATTATCAAAACTTCCAAATTATCACACCTTCCGCGAAGTTTCCTCTACATATATTTAACAGATTTTTACAAATTTCTTGAGATATTAAAATAGGAAAAATATATTTTTTATTTTTATTTTTTAAGGATAGGATTTGATACATTCTTTTTCAAAACATAAACTAGCTGATAAAGATATACTTTAAAACATTTTTTATTTATTTTATAGATTTACTATTGTTATCATTACTATTATACATTGGAATTTAAAAAGTTATTATTATTATTATTATTATTCAACATGAACAAATACGATTGGCGCCAACGGAATTCAGTAGTTGCCACATGTTAAATTATTTGTGGTTTATGTTTAATGATAAATAATTTTTTAAATGTGATACTTTAATTTATTTACTTTTCTTTTTGACAAAAATACATAAAGTTTAAATAAAACTTTGATATCAATTTAGTGTAAATTCATAGAATAGAATAGTTCATATTCCATTAAGCCAATTCATTTGATATTTATACTTTATTACATTGTCTGCAAATACGATGAATAATACTATATTTTTTAAATTTGGACTTTTTGATTTCTTTTTCTTTTTCTTTAATATTACGTTTAGTTAATAAAATGTAAAAAACTAATTATTACAATTAACAGTTTGTTTAATATGTCTTGACGTAAAAAAAACAATTTTAAGATATAAAATAAAATTGATTAATTAAATATAAAAGACTGATTAATAAATAAAATAAAATCTTATGTGATAATTAACTTTAGTCAATGATACGTAAATAATAACCAATATAATTCATATTTTAGTTAATAAATATGTAGACATAAAAAAATAATTTTAACTATTAAAATCAAAATTAATTAATATGAGTAAATTCTAAATGTTAATTAATATATAATTTATAATTTAATGTTTGAATGAGGTTATATTCTATATTTTGATGATTGATGAAGTAATAAAGGTGACTAGTAAAATAAGTGATTAATAACATATATTTTGGTGGTTAATGAAATTATAAAATTAATTAATAATATAATTTTATATTTGTGTTTTAAAATAATTATTTTTATTTCTTGAAAAATATATTCTAATAAAAAATAATATATCTTTAATTTTAAAAAAATATTATTCAACGTATTTATAAATATTATTATATCATATAATAAATATATAAAACTTCTACAAGAAATATACTCTCCAACGACATGTTTTTGTGATCTGATTATCATGTCACTAAAATTTAGTAGTTGCGATGTGGTAATCACGTCACTAAATTATTTTATAATTGAAATAATAAAAGTAAGCACCCGTCAGTAATTTTTTATATAAAAAAGTTGCAACGTGGGAAACACGTCACAACATAAAAAGTATAATAAAAAAATGTTAAGCTTCAGACGTTTTGAAGAGGAAAGTTTAAATATTTCAAATATTCACGTCACAAATATTTTAGAGGGAAAAACCTTGTTTTTGACAAGATGTCATTCTGAAACGGGCAGATTGATTGTAAAAATATAATCGTTGTAGGGGTTGCGACGTGAATATCACATGGCAAAGTTGCGATGTGATATTCACGTCGCTGATTGGCTAATATTTAAATTGTAATGTTGGGTGTTGCGACGTGAATATCGCGTGGCAAGGTTGTGACGTGAATATCGCGTGGCA